TTCAAAGTCATGACAGCATGAATGACAACTTCATCTTTTACAAATGGTCCTATGTGGCCTAATGTTGTAGTGTAGATATGAACTGTCCCCCAAAAGTTCATGTGTGAGACAATGCAAGAATGCTCAGAGGTGAATTGGTTAGATTATGAGATCTGTAACCTCATCAGTTCATTATTTCACTTACATAGATCATGGGTGGTAATTGTAGGCAGGTGCTGGGTATGACTGGAGGAGGTAGGTCACCGGGGCGTGACTTTGGGGTGTATATTTTGTCCTAGGTGAGTGGAACTCTCTTTGCTTCCTAGTTGCCATGTCCTGAGCTGCTTTCTCTTGCCATGCCCTTCCACCATGATGGGCTGCCTCACCTTGGGCGAAGAGCTATGAAGTTGGTTGACCAAGGCCTGAACCTCTGAAACCGTGAGTCAAAATCAACTTTTCTTCCTTTAAGTTGTTCTCGCCAAGTCTTTTGGTCATAGCAATGAAAGCTGATCAAAGCACCTGAGTGTACGCTGAGAACAGGGGAAATGCAGGTGAGTAAAGACAGGCTCACATTGTGGAGGCCCCTGCTGCCCACTAAGGAGCGAGACCTTTACTTTGTGAGTGATGCGTCTGTATTTGGAAAGATCGCCATGGCTGCAGGTGTTTGGATAGAGGAGCTAAAGGGAGGAAGCTGTGTGGACAGCCAGGTACCTAGCGAGGATCCAGATGGGATAAGCAGCAGGTGGAACCAAAGTCAGTGGCAGGGTGATTCTGACAGTGTCTAGAAGATACTCTCCATACGCTCAGATAAAGGATGGTGTGTCTTATAAAATACAACCAGAAGAGTCACGGATAGAGATGCCTGGGATACCCATCTGAACCTATGCACAAACCAATCCTCTCTCAATGATTATGGGGTTGTAAACTCCTCTTTCTGAGGCTTCTCCTGAAATCTATACTTGTCCCTGAACCTGAATCTGGGTTTTGCCTTCAAGCCCACATGAGCAATCTGTCAAGACCTCAGGCTGTGGCCACTCGAAAACATCTGGCTTTCTCAGAAATGGAGAAGTTCTCTGTGTAGAATTATGAGGTAACATACTAGATGTGCAGTTACATTTGAACTTCAGGTAAGCACAATTGAATATAAATGTGACCTAAATATTGCACAGGATATACTTAATCCCCAAACAGTTGTCATCTATATGAAATTCCAATATAACTGATAATCATGTTATTTTTGTTGTTGTTGTTGTTTTCAGCTAAATATGATAATTCTTCCTCTGGGCTTTACCTCACATTGGCTCAGACATCCCAGGCAGACACTTTCACAAGAAGCAGGAGGGGAAAAAGTGTGTGCTGTTGGGAGTTGGGATGCTTTACAAAGCCACTGTCAGTATGACCCCAGGTCTGAGCATCCTCTGGGAGAATCTAAAATCTGAAAAGAGTGGACTTGGGACTGAGCAGAGAACTGATGTTTTGCAAGACTTTTGGAGGGAATTTAGAACAACATATTTGCCAAAGGAAGTATCAATATACTTATAAAAAAAAGCTCTCAAGTGTCCCATGGTGGTATGAGCAGAACATTAGTGTCTCTATCATGGATTGATGGCAAGAATTTTCTTTGGAAGCATGTATAAGAATTGGCAATATATAACATTTGTTTGTTTGTCTGTTTGCTTTAGCATTAAATGAAGGTAGAATTAACTTTTGGAGCATTTATTTTGTGCTAGAATTTTAAGGCACCTAATATCTCATAAGCACCTACCCTTTGGGAAGTTCAGAATTCATGTTCACAAAAAGTAATAAGTTCAGAATTCATGTTCACAAAAAGTAATTGGATTATAAAAGTCATCAGGCATAGCAGTTATTTTTTATATAAATGAGTAATATTTATTTAGAAAAACACCCTCAACCAAACTGCAAAGCTAATCTTCCCATAGAGTTGAGGTTATATTCCAATAAGGCTTTCTCTACATTTTCCGCAAGAGCTTCAATAATAAGCTTCCTTCTGAAGGAATAATCTTGTGATTTCATGCAAGAAAGATTTTTTCTTTGAGGTGAATGAGATACGAAGTTGTGAGAAGTTACAGTCAGAATTATTAGTTTGCTTTCCCCTTTCTGACCAAATGACAAGAGAATATATTCTTGTTTTCCTGGAATCCTTGATATTTTTTTCTAGAAGCAAACTGGATATTCCAAATGCCTGAAATCATTCAGCCTAAGCCTCACATTGTGTGTTTATGTAGCTGAGGTGCTAAAACCCTGCCAACTTATTAAGTTCTTTCTGTTTCACTCTGCAGGTGAACCAAGTGGTGTGCTTTCCAAGTTTCCTGGTGATCAAGTTACTGGAGAGCTGCCCTAAACTTGTATTTAGGGAGCATTTACAATGTGCCTTGTACCGTCAGCCATCAGAGAGAATGTTACAGGACCATAGCCCAGGAACCTGTCAACTGGGTGTTCTGCCATCAAAAGCAAGAATTGAAGAGTCTCCTTCAGCAACAAGTACAGGAAAGACTATTATTTTTTTTCCCAATATATTCAAATATTTAAACCTCTTATAGTGCAAGTCTGAATGTGATAAACTTTCAAACTTAAAGGTAAGCTTTGAGTTATGAAATCAGAGAATTATAGAAATTATTGAATTGTTGAAAATAGGGTTCTAGATTTTCTCTAGGGTGTTCAGTTAAAACAAAGCACAGCCATCCCCTGTGGAAAAGCTGTTAGCTCATATCATCCCATAACCTCCCACTGCATCCTGGTCCCTGTTTTCCAACTGCTTCCCAACCTTTTCAGTTTCCTTTGAATTTCATATTATTATTATTATTATTATTATTATATTATTATTATTATTATTATTATTTTATTTTATTTTTTTAGAGAAGCCATGTCCATACTTCAAAAGTGAGATTAAAGCTAACCCTATGGCGTTCATAGTTTCTCCTTGTTGCTAATGTTTAGTTTCAGGTGTAACCGCTTGCTGTGCAGTTGCCCCTTAGCTGTTTCTGATCTCCAGATCTTTTAGACCCACTTACATAAATCTCAAAGTCACTCTTCATTTTGTTTTAAAAATTCTGTATGTTTATGAGTGTGTACAGATGTAATATGCATGTATATAGTATGTATATATTTACATATGTGTTCATATGCATGTAAATATACTTAACAAATGTGTATATTCTGCTAATAACTAATACTTTTCAACAAAAATAAATTGGCATGCATTTAAGATAAACATTCTCTAAATGAAATTCTTTATATTTCAAGAGACCTGGAAACCTATATTTTTGAATTGCAGACTTTTTGTGTGTGGCAAATATTAACTAGATTTTCTTCCATTATTTCAAAGAGAAAATCTGGTTGCAGGTAGAGGTGAAGCTCAGTAGTAGGGCATGTGCTTAGCATCTGAGACCCTGGGTTCAAACCCCAGCAACGGGGGGTGGGGTTGTGGAGGGGGGACAGAAAGAGATTTGACTATTTGCATGTGATGCATTTGGATAAAGAAATTTAGGTGGCCCTATTACGACTATGCAATTTATTGTTAATCTAACTGAAACTTGACCCTGCTCCTTTCATTGATCAGATGATGAACACATTTAACTCTCAGGGATGTTGAAAGCATACAGAACATAAGTAATCAATAAAGAGATGTTTGAAGACTGTTAGAATACACTCATGATTCAGGTAATGAATTATTTTGTAAACATCAATAACATGCTTTTCTAAAAAAAAAAAAGTCACTATTCAAAAAAAAGTGTTCACCAAAGAAATATGATACATAAGGGAAGAAAAATAAGACAATTAAAAAGAAATCTAGTGAAATCATCTGATGTCACTGAGCTGACAACCCCGCTTTTGTGTTTGATTTTATATCTGGCACAGGTATTTTCTAACTGCAAGTTGATTTATATGAATCTTTTAAAATGCTGTTATGACAGGGACTTAAAAGTTTTAAATGTTTTAAAATATATCATTGGGCTCATTGATATATTTTTAAATTAAAAAATAAATGCAAAATATGTAACTTCTACAGGATTTCTCTTTTAAAAGAAGGAATACCTTATAGAATATCATCATTACAGGCTCAGAAACTATGCCCAGTTCTCTTCTCTCTCTCTCTCTCTCTCTCTCTCTCTCTCTCTCTCTCTCTCTCTAACAAGAAAATAAGTAGTAAAGCACTCTTAGAAGGATCTGGCTTTTTACTTTTTTTTTTTTTTAGTAGTAGTAATTTTCTTTTCAGAACCGCCCCCTGAAAGTGGAGACAGAATAGAGGGAACTTTGCTTTGTACTGGAGAAGGTTGAGCAGAAATACTTTCTACTTCATGGTACCTCATGGACTATGCACTGTCGTCCCCTGAGGACAAGTAAGACTAGAATTAAATTTCTGGCCTTTATTAAAATATGAAGAGACTTGTGGCTTAATTTCTGTAACTTTGGTACAATTTAGAAATAGTGCATTCACCCCTAATAAAAGTAGGGGTGCCCTTGCCAACTACCAAAGGAACTTTCATCTTCTTGGATTTCAGTAGCATCCTTAATAACACCCTGAAAAACACACACTTTTTTTCCCCAGGATAAAGCACCTAGATGTATTATTATTGTTAGAATTATTTTGCTATTAGTTTTTACCAGCATTGAGGAAGAGATGATAATTATTTCAAAAGGAATCTGAGAAGCCTTAAAAATCTTTCAAGTTTCTTCCGTAACCAGTGTTTTATAATGGTGAATCTGTAAGAAGTATTATTACCAACCAAATTCTTAATAGACCAATACAATAATGAAACTACTTTAACTGCCCAACTCTTATTTTATTGCCATCTAGTTTCAGGAATTCTGAATCTGGTAAACAATTCCTCAATTAAAATGACACTCTCTTAAGAGAGACATTAGATTAAGTGCCATCAGAGGAAATAAATTCCAGCATTAGGTTAAGATAGAGACTGATTGATTTCTTTTGCAGAACTCTGACTTTTTGAGTGACAGGTGGAAGACAAAATGTCAAGAAGGACTCCTGTTAGAACAAGTGCTTAGGATGGTTTTTAATATAGCAGGGAGCCAAGATACAGTAGTAGGACACAGTAAAGAATATGGAGTATGTGGATACAATAAAGAATTTTGGTTTATGATCTGCCATCTGTTATTGAGAAGAATAAGTTAGGGAAATAGATGACTTTCAGTTCTCCATACATGCAAAGTTAAGATAGTTATTATAAAACTTTTGCTGTTGCATGTGCTGAAAGAGAAGCATATACATTTAAACATTTTCAAAAAATAAATCACTCAGTAGGCTTAAGAAAAATACTTTAGTTCATATTTCATTGATCCGACCTTTTGATTCAAGGTCAGGAAATGAATCCAGAATAAAAACCAACAAAACACAAAACAAAACCACACGCACACACACACGCACACACACACAACAGAAATGAATCATTTACCATGGAAAAGGCATTTCCAGTCTCAGCTAACCTCGACTAGTTTTTATTGCATTATTTTTGAAATGCCAGAAACTGGCTTTTGGCCATAATATTTGCTGTCCAACTAAATTGTAGCTGTTATTATGCAATTGATTGCAACAATTAGCTAAACACCATTATTTGACAAATTCCCTCAAAAGAGACAGATGCTGTAAGGTGTCTTAATACACAGAGCCAAGTCACAATCAGTCAGTAACTAACAATCAGTCAGACTGGGGCTGCAGCCCAAGGACAGAAGTTTGTAAACCCTTGCTCAAGGAATGAGTTTCATACAACCTTAAGATTTTGGAAAATATATTTTTGTCCCGATTCTTCAAGTTATTCCCTGTTTTCAGGAATGAACTGGGGGACTAGCTGAAGAAGGGGCAGGGAGTGGGGGGACACACAAACTCTAGATTCCTTTTTAAGGAGATCAGGAGAAGAGAAAAAAATAGAAATGCAAATGTGAAATGGTAATGATACACAACATGGAGAAAAGAACCATCATGGAACCTGCTAGTGATTTCCACCAAAGCAGTAAACCCTTTAACTAACAGAAATTCAGTACAATATACACATTAATCAACAACTCCACCATTACTAGGGCTGCTTTTTAAGCCAAATAAAATAAAATAAAATAAAATAACTACAATATTCAAAAACAGAATTCTCATACGATTTGAGAAAGAATAGAGTGAAAAGGCAAATGTTAGCTAAGCTCTTAGCTAAATCCACTCTTAATGGCCCCCAGTATTTAAACTATCATGGATTAAAGCCATGAAAATAAAAATTTCAATTTGAAATTTTATTAGCATGTTGCTAAAATGGTCAATAAAAACATCAACACGATAGGCTTTGTTGACATAGTTGGAAAACTGCTCTCTCGTTTTTTCAAACTTGATTTCCTTTTCCCCAGCTTCTAAGATTTCTATGTTAGGAAAAGCCAAACTAAATATACTGGCTATGGTGTTGTCATAATGCTGGTTTCTGGAATGTTGCCGTGTCCTCCCCCTCCCACTCCTCCAATCCCTTTAAAAATATGACTATTTTTGAAATGCAGCCCGAGGAGGGAGTAATCAAGGGTTCAGAACAATAAGCGCCCTTCTGTACCCATTCAAGTTCCCAGACACCAGGTGAACTATCTCCTTTTCCCGGGTGGGGCCCGCTCTCCACATCAAATTAGCCATGCTATTGTCCTCCCAGACCGGAAGGCTTCCCTTTCTGCCAAGGAGGGAGACTCACAGGCAAATGCGGGTGGGGTGGCGTCTGCTCCCTCTGGTGCAAAGAACAGGAAGCAAAAACTATCTAGCTTAGCCCAGAGCCTGGAATAAAGTCAGGAGACCTGGGGCTGGAGAGCTGGAAGAGTCCCAGGCAGCCTCAGGATAACCCAGAGTCCCGAAGTGCTTTCTCACAGAACTATTCACAAGTGCACAAGGGGCAGGCTTGATTTCTTGGAAATCCTGCATTCTGGGGACACATTCATACAGGAGGTGAACGGTGCCCTGAAAAGACCAATCCTCGCCTCCGACTGGCCTGTCTGTGCACATTTGGGGTATTGAAGGTCCCTTTTTAGTAATGGGTAATTTCCCTGTCAGGTGCAAGCCACTGACCATTGACTCACGGGAAAGGTCACGTCCCTGCTCTCCTCTACCCGTTTCCCTTCTCCCTTTACAACTCAAGGGAAAAGCACTCTCTGGGGTCTCCCAACACCTTTACCACCACTGAGGCTCTCAGCGAGGCGCGCGCAGCTGCGCCCTTTCAGTCCCAGGGTCAGTTCCTGAGACTTCCTGCCGCTGGCCGGCGGGGTGCAAGGGTGCAGCCCCTCGCACAGACCACCGGCGGCTGACGCACGCGGGGGTGGGTTGGGGATCAAGAACTGCCAGCCGCGAAGCCCGCCCGGCACAGACTGGAAGGGAACCCGGCGCTGGACACAGGCGGGGCAGGCAGGCTACTCCTTGTCGTCCACCAAGTCGGCCAGCTCCTGGAGCACTCTCAGGCGGCCACTGGCGTCGATGCGGCGCTTCTCGCGGATGAGGTCTTCCAGGCTGTGAAACCGGGCAGTGTGGATTTTGTTTTCCCCCAGATGCACCTTAAGATAGTACTGCTGCTGCGGGGGCTGCGTGGCGGCCGGCACCTCCCCTCCGGCTTTGAATTCCCGCTTGCCGAAGCGGCACCAGGCGGCGAAGCTTTCCGAGTTCGTCCAGCAGATCTCCTCGCTCTTGAGGCCCAGGTGGCCGCAGGCGTTCTGCACCACCAACTCGGCCACCAGCGGGCGGTAGCGGTACCAGCTATTCACCACCCGGCCCACGTTGGCCGCGTCCGCCTCGTACAGGCTGTCCTGGCGGATCTCGCCTTGGTGCAGGTGGATAATGTGCCCACCGCCCACGTACACCGCCCAGTGCGGGACCGGCGCGGGCGGCTCCCGAGCCGGCTGTAGCCACAGCAGCTCCAGCAGGTCGCCGGGCTCGCAGAGCGTTGGCAGCGCGGTGACAGCGTAGACGCTCAGGTCCGCGCCCTGAGGGCCGCCGCTCACTTTGGAAAAGATGCATTCCTGGCCCCGAAAGGCGGAGAACTGAGTCTCGTTAAGGACTAGTTGGTGCAGCAGGTGGTGGTGGTGGCGGCTAGGGCTCTCTGGGCAGGGGGTGCAGCCTGGGGGGGCCTTCACGCCAAACTTGTCGGGTTGCCCGCGTTCGTCCAGGTCCTCCTCCTCATCCGAGAAGAAGTAGGCGACCCCGACCCGAAGTTCGTCCTTCTCAATCCCGGACGGGTCCCCTGTGGGCAACTCGCTGTAGTTGAGGTGGGTGATGCGGTCCAGTTGGTTGCCCATCAATGACGCGGCGAGGCGAGGGCCAGGAACTGGGATCTGCGAAAGAAGAGGAGAAACAGACACCATCAGAGTCGGGGGACTCTAATGTCCCTCCAAGATGGACAGTGCCCCTGGGACCTGCTAGCCCGCGCACGCCCCGCATTATTGTCACCTGCGCCAGCCGAGTTCCCTGTGCCTCCCTGTGGTGGGGAAGGAGGTACAGAAGCCACCAGTCCCGCGGGCCAGAGCGGACGCCACCACACCGCCTCCAACCCTGTCCGGGAAGCCTATTCTAACTCCCACAAGAGAAAATGCAGGCGGGCTGGAGATGATGCGAAGTCCCAATAGGGAGAACGTGGACTGTGGCAGCGTAGGAGACAGACACCCAAGGAAGGACAGAGGGTGGGTTGGGAGGCAGAAGGGACGTCTAAGGCCAGAGAGCTTGAAGAAAGCTGAGCCCACATTTAAGTCCCCACCCGCTCTAGCCCACCTCCCAGTTTTGCCCTAGGTTGTACCCCACCCCTGACCACGGTTTATACAATGACAATCGGACACATTCCCAGGTATTCACTAAATGCCAGCAAAATTCTGCACAGTGACACTGACAAGCTGGTACATACACCCACAATGACAAACCCTCGCGACGACACATTGGCACACTTAGATGCCCTCCCCCCATTCGTACACAATTCCAAACCGAGCTTGCACCCTTGCTAATGCGTGTATACTCAAGCACCCGGGCACACCTGCCCACGCAGGCAGGTGCACTCTGCCCCTTACTTTGCCTGCTTTTAACCCAGCAGAGCCAATCGGATTGCGCCAGGGCGAGGCTGCTCTAAAATAACCTAACAAAGAGACCGGGAAGCCAGTGCAGAATATTAGTGCAGTGTGTGTGTGTGTGTGTGTGTGTGTGTGTGTAGAGGTTTAGTTTCAGCCCAAATACCCCTTTCTTCCTACCCAATACAGGATCCAAACAATCAGTCGGGAAAAAAAAAAAAAAAAAAAAAAACGTTTCCGAGGCAAAGAATGCCGCCTCTCCGTACCGGTGATTTCCCTGCTCCTGAAACCCCAAACTCCGTTAAAGTCTCCTGGTCCCCATGGGTGCTGCGGAGACGGCGGTGGCGAATGGGTCCCGGGCTGCGCGTGAGGCTGTGGCTCAGCTCTACCCCTCGCCGAACCCTGCTTTGCTGCTGTGCCTGGCGCCGTACCGGTGCGCTCCTGTCTTCTCTAGCTGCAAGGGTGCTCCACCTGGGCAGTCGGGGCTGGGCTGTGCTTTCCTACAGCCGCGCGGACGACTCTAAGTAGCCTGAGCAGCAGCTCCAGGGCCCGCCCCGGAACTCGCTCATTGGCTGGAGTGGGTGCCCGGGCCCTGCCAATCTCAGCCGGAGGGGGAGGGATCAGGGGCGGGTCTCTGGTGCGCTCCACCTCGCCCGGCCCCCGCGCACCCGAACGCACACAGCCCCCAGGAGCGTAGGTGTGAGCGCGCGTGGGGAGCGCTAGCTAGGCGCCGCGCAGCTGTACTGCTCTGCTGAGCGGTGTCACCCGCGTCCCTAGTCTCCTCCGAGCTGATTGTAAATGAGCTGATTGTAACACAGTCCGCCCGCGTTCCATGTTCCCTGTTCCGAAGGACAGACTCCAGGAGGGAAGCTGAGTCTGGGGGTGGAGAGGAAAAAAGAACAAAAAAACACCATGTTCGCATCGCATCTTGGCCCAGGCTCTGCGGGTATTCGCGGGCAGCGAGCGAAATCGCCTAAGGCGGTGCGGGGTCTGTGCTGGGACTCTGGAATCTCAGTTCCTGAGGACCCTTGGGCTGCTCCCTGGCTTAAAGACCCTTTTTCAGCCAGGCACAGATGTTTTTGAAATTGCGCTGGTGGTGTTTAGCTCCTTTGCTTTCAGCCAAATGAAGGTGCTGACCCGGTGCTGGTGCCTGGTTTAAAAGGAGAGAGGTGTCAGTTGCGACCCAATAGTCTGAGTCTTGGCCGGCCTCTTCCCTGACTCTGCCTGGTTTTGTCCTCCATTTGTTTCCCCCTATGAAAGGGGTGCATCGCAAGTGCCCACAGTAGGACTTGTGTTTCCTAAGCCCCAGAATCGCCATTGGTAAGGGATTTTTGTTTGGTTTTGTGGGAGAATGGTATCATTCAGTAATTCCTGACTGCGTTTCTGGATGAGAACTTCATGAATGAAAGACCCCTGGATATTGGATGCTAAAAAACGACGGTCACAATACAGAATTTTAGACCAACAATTTTCGGAGTTGGGACGTTAAGCCTCAAGAAGTTCCTAGACTTCGGTTCTAGTCTCCATGCTGCTTATGCTTAAGACGGGACTTATGCTATTTATTTATTTATGCCGGGTATCAAACCCATGGCCTTGTACATCTAGACTTTCTCTCTAGAGAGAATTTGATGTTCCCTCTTTGTACCCCCTGCACAGCTGTCACAGGCTCTGTTAGTGCATCTCCCCTGCTTTATCACATACTTGTGTTGATCTACCTCCTTTTTACAAACTGAACTCCATGAGCTGAGCTGGGTGCACAGCTTTGTATTCATGGCCTCCTCAATGCTGCGTGTACAATGGGCTCCATGGGAACAATAAAAAGGGAAATAGCCTATAGTGACCACTTCCACCTTGCTAAGAGATTTAAGAAGATGATTTAATCCCCATATCTGAATTGTAATGAGGAAACTAAGGCCCCAGTCCTTGGGCCACCAGTCCATCTGGAGTTGTGGGAAGTTTAGCCAGTTGTGAATTAGGCTACAGTGATTTGTTGAATGAATAAACTCTTGTTTTAGAACATGAAAAAGCTGGTGCTTCAGAGAAGTTAGCTGCTGGGCCCAAGGTCACATGCAGAGTGATGCATATTATCAGTGCTTCTTTTCTTTGACAAACTATTCTGCTTGAGTATTTTGAAACTGTCAAGTCTTCAGTTTGTGTTTGCTTTCTGAAGGTCTCTGCCTGATGCAGTGATTTTTCAAAGTAGATGCTTAATAAGTATTGTGGGAAAATCATTTTAAAGTGGCCAACTGTATACATTTGATTTACTTAAATCTTTTCAGAAATTTGGCCACTGTCCTACCTGCCAATTTATTAGGAAACAAGTAGCCATCCTTGGAACTGACCATAGGTTGTATTTTTTTTTTTTATTTTCTGTAAATAATAAACAACTCATTTTGGCCCTGAAGTTAAGAGAATTGAACAAGTAGTTTCTGAGACCAAGAAGTGAATTATTGATCTTGTTATAAGCTGGACTTTGGTGCTGTCTGGGAGGAGGAATCTGAAGAGTTCACACTGATGTCTGAGAGGTGCTCATTGAAAGCTGCTCAGCACTTGACTCTGAATACCCCCTGTCCCCTTTTAAACCTCTCTGCATTCCCAAGATCAAATCTTGCTCACAAACATTTTTAACTTACCTGCTGTGTCCAGTCCTGCCTGTCCTATTCCATACTACCCCTGGCTACAGTGTAAGCAGGCTGCTTACTGCTTTGTATCCAACACTCTATAGCTTAATGAACTTAAAAAAATAGTGCCAGTGCTTGGAGAAACAGTACCTAAACTTTAAGATACCAATATGCAACTTTTGAATTTTCCTCCCATCTCCTCCCTTCTGCCACAGCGAAAGACTTACTGCTTAGTTATTGAGGGAGAATAAATACCTGGGATCCCCCATGAAATAAAAGGCAGGGGAACACACTGAATCCAAGGCTTGGGAAAAAAGAGAGCTAAAAATAAACCAAGAAAAGGATCTGTACTTTGTAGGCTTTTGGCAGTTATGAAGGAAACGAAATAAAAAGTCGAAGGATGCCAACATTATAAAACATTTATTTTCATCACAAATGTTGTTTGCAAATTGTTTTTTCTTTTATTGTTACACTAAAGAAATACAATGTCATCAACAGCAGAATATAGTCATCAAAGCACAACTCAAACCCAGCTACTTTGAACTGTATTTCAATACTTGTGAGCTGGTTAACTGGGTCTGTTACCCTAACCTTTGCAGGTCAGATTCCTTACCTACAAAATATAGATAATAAAAATATCTCCCTCATGAGGTTGTTTGGAGTTTAGATGTAAGCACAAGTGGAGTGTCCGGTGCCTAGTGAGCTTTCAGTCAGAGCTACCCTATTATTATTGATGGAGGAGGGGGAGAGGGTCTCATACTTTATTTGTTCACGACAATTGTGGCTTAGATCTGGACTGTCCCCCAAAACTCATGTATTGGAAGAACGGTCCCCCATGCAGTAAGGTTCAAAGGTGAGGCTTTTAGGCAATGATTGGACTATGAAGGCTCTACTCTGTGGAATAATCCACTTGATGGATAGCTGTGTAGACTATTAAGAGGTGGGACTTAGCTGGAGGAAGTGGGTCACTGGGGTGTGCCCTGCAAGGGCTAATCTTCAACTCAGCCTCTTCCTCAGAAAATCAATCTCTGTCTCCCTACTTGCCCCCCTACCCCCACCAGTTGCCATGAGCCAAGTTACCCTTTTCTACTATGCCCTTCTGCCATGGTGTTTCTGCCTTAGAGTCAGCTGACCATAAACTGAATCTCTGAAACCATGAGCCAAAATAAAAGTCCTACCTCCAAGTTGTTATTGTCAGGTATTTTGGTCACAGTGATGGAAAGCTGACCTACACACAGCTGTGAAGTTGTGTCTTTTCTTTCCCTAGGCAGAACCTAGCTCTGTCTGCTAGAGTGTCCACCACCGTCCCTGGCTGGAGTGTGGGGTGTGGGATGTTCCTGTTTTAGGGTGGTGAGTGTCCCGCCCATATTTAGGCTTAATGCTCACTATAGGATTCTGTATGTGAGCCCTTGGACTAATCACACCTGGGGTCCCAGAGGACTAAGAGTCTCTTTAAATGAACATTTTCTGCTATAGGACATGTGTGTGGAAAGGCCCAGGGAGGAGCGGTTAGGAGTCAGTCAGCTGCGTGACGTTTTTATTAGCGCCATCGTGGGCATCTTCTCCCTTCCTTCTTCAGCAGTGTATGGAAAGTTTTCTTTCAAATTTTGCTGACCATGTCCTTGGCTCAAACTTCCATCCATTAAAACTGGCCCTGGATGGAAGGGTTCAGAAGAGATGTGCATTTTCCTTCAGTTCTTCTTTATATCGCTGTTTTCTAGAACATGTTTTGGCTTTTGATTGTATGGCCTATTTTAACATTTGTCCTTTAATGAAATGAAATGTCTTATTTCCTGTTGTTGGCTGCGTTAGGCAGTGATCATGCTGATCCTCCACTGGACTAAAGAATACTCTGTAACCTTCTGCAGCAGAGACATTCTGTAGCTCCAACAACCCCGTCCCTCCCTTCCAGCCTGTGGCTAACTGCCAGGTTCATGCATTCTAGGAGGGCTGCTGTGTGACTGAGTTCTGCCCAACAGAATGTGGGCGGGAGTAGAGGAAGCCACTCTCAGGATGATCTCCTGAAAACTGTTAACATGGTCTTCCCCGAACTCTCTTTTGCCATTGGTGATCCGTCGGGGATCCATGGTAGAACTCTTAGGATCTGATGGACAGAGGAGCCACTAGATGGAAGGAAGCCAGGGTTCCTGAATGACTGCTTAAAGCAAATAATATCCCCTCCTGAACAAATGCTTTGGACTGTGACAGGAGGAAGAAGTAGATCTTATTGGTTAAGCCATTGAAACACTTGTGATACTGGTTCATATATTCTTCTTCACTGTAGATCTATCTCAAAATAAGAAATATCCCTACCCCTATTGACAATGGCTGTTCTTGTTGTCAAGGTAGACTTTCCCAGGGTCCTTGGAGCATCTCAGCATGTTCATCCAGAATTTCTTTTAAAATTTTTTTTTTTTGGCTGGTGTTCAAAATCAAACTCACAGCCTTGTGCCTGCCAAGCAAGTGCTCTGCCACTGAGCTACATCCCTGGTCTGGCATCCATGATTCAAAGACGTTAACGGTGGATGCATCTGTATCTTCTGGATACTTCCTCTTCTGTCCCTACTATTTGCTTTCTGAATCCTCTGAGCTTCCCTGTGACTAACTGACCCAACTCACTAAATGTCTTACCTGCTTTCTACTTTTTGAAGACCACAAAAATGGCAGCATAAACTCCTTACAGCTAAGACTACAGAGAATCCTGCTATTCCTCTTCCTTTACCTGTCTGCATGTATTAGCATCTTAACTGTCCGGTTTTCTTAAGTGCCCTCCTCTGAATTGGACTTCCACCTTCTCATACTTTCTTATCTTTGGTGGCTGCTCATCGTTGAATCTTTCATCTGGGTCCTCTTCTGGTTTCAGGAGTGGGTCTACTCCCACA